ACTTAACAGGTACAATCAACACTATTTGGTGATAAGCACACTTATATCCCTGACTCGACCATTACAAAAGTGATCCATTTTAGAAAATAAAAAGTTGAACCCCCTTAATATTAAATAAAAAAAAAGAAAAAGTGCTATAATTGAATAAATTCTCTAACCTAACTCATTCAATCTCAAAGCCCTAATAACCTGAGCCTGTGACAGGAGGGGCAGCCTCTAGGATCTCTGGAATGCAGTTAGGGTCAGTGTCCTGAAGAACAGCACCTGGCTTCCTTCTGCCTTTTACAGCCCCTTCATCAAAGGGTCACTCAGCCACACTCTCACATGCTTTCTGCTTTTCATGGCCCAGGCCAAGAATTTTCCAAAGCTTAACATTCTGTTTCTCTTTGCATGATAAATTCTGTCTTTAAATCATTTATCTCCTCTTGCATTTTACTATATGCACTTAAACAAAGCCATTGGCTCCTTCAACATTTTCCTTAGAAATTTCTTCCGCCAGATATCCTAGTTGATTGCTCTTAAATTCTGCCTTTCATAGAGCTCTTGGTCACAGACACAGTTTGGCCATATTCTCTGCTACTTTAAAATAGGGATGACCTTTTCCCCAGTTTCCAATACCTTGTTCCTCATTTCCACCTCAGATTTCATCAGAAAGGTCCTTACTATTTGTATGTCTACTCTACATACAATAGTAGAGTACAGTACTGTCTACAGTATTCTGCTTACAGAAACTCTATGAACATTCAGACTTTCCCTACAACTATTCTCTTCTGAATCTTTCCTATAATCACCCTTAATGCTCCATTCATGTTATTACAGTGGTTCCTTCCTATCTGTAGATGTGCTTGCCACACTTTTAGTTATCCACAGTCAATAGCAATCTGAAAATAATAAGTGGAAAATTCCAGAAGTCAACACTTCATACATTTTAATTGCATGCCATTATGAATAATGTGGTCTCATGCTGTACTTTTCTGTCCCACTCAGGACTTTTGTCTGGTGTATTCGTGCTGTGTACCCTGCCCACCACTAATCACTTCATAGCCATCTCAGTTGTCAGATAGTCCCCTTTTTTTACTTAGTAATGGTCCCAAAGTGCCAGAGTAGTCATTGTGGCAATTTGAGTATGACAAAAAGAAGTTATAAAGTGCTTCCTTTAAGTGAAAAGGTAAAAATTCTTAATCTAATAAGGAAAGAAAAAAATTGTATACCGAGAATACTAACTTCCACAGTAAGAAATAATCTTCTAGGACGGCGCCTGTGGCTCAGTGAGTAGGACGCCAGTCCCATATACCAAGTGTGGTGGGTTCAAACCTGGCTCCGGCCAAATTGCAACAAAAAAATAGCTAGGCATTGTGGTGGGCACCTGTAGTGCCTCCTACTCAGGAGGCTGAGGCAAGAGAATTGCCTAAGCCCAGGAGTTGGAGTTTGTTGTGAGCTGTGATGCCATGGCACTCTACCAAGGGCAATAAAGTGAGACTCTGTCTCTAAAAAAAAAAAAAGGAAAACAAAGAAATAATCTTTTATCTGTGAAATTGTGAAGAAGGAAGAATAAATTCATTCTAATTTTGCTGTCACAACTCAAATTTTACCACAGGTGTATATGCATTGGAAAAAAATAGCATCTATATAGGTTTTGACACTATTCATGATTTTGGGCTTCATTTGGGAGTCTTGCAACAAACACATCCCCTGAAGATAAAGGAAGACTACCATATAAGAAGATTTCACCAGTTCAAAAAACAGGAAGACATTTGGTGGGCTAGAAGTTAAAAAAAATAACATCACTTAGCTTCTTCCCAACGCATTTAGACATAATTAAGAATTAGAGCTGAAAAATTCTTCCCAGTGGTGAAGTTCAAGGCCCAGGCCAATGACATGACTCACTTGTAATTGCACTAAGTGGACCCACGCTGAGTTAAATATATCTCCTGTAAGTGTATCTGCCTTCCCAATTTGCCTTACAAACAATCATCTTTTCAAAGATACTAAATTTCACATGGATACAGGCCAGAGAAAATTAGCCTTCACATGTCCCAAATGGGATGTGTTCAAATTAATGTGATTTTGTGGCATGGCTATCAATTATAGCAAAAGATTAGTAGGGAATAGTAGATATTCAGGATGTTATCCTAATCCTTTTCTGGTTATCAACTTACCTCACAATCAGAATTTCAGGTAGTATGTCAGCCAAGCAATGAATCATTGCACCAACACAAAACACTCCCAGGAATGCATAATGCTCTTAGAATAAAGACACTTTCCTAAGAGCTGAAATGAGTCACTGATCCCACAGTCTTCAATGTGTAGAAAATTTACAGGGTCACGTAGGGATAGAGCCCCAAGTGACTCACAGTTGGGATCACAATAGCAACCCTATGTTTACAGATGAACTTTAGGTTGGCCAGAATGTTCTTCTTGAAGAGTCTTTGTTGTATTTGATATAATCATAAGGTCAGAGTCTTGTGAAGCTATAGATTATCATTCGGAGGGCTCTCTATTCTGTTCCAGACACTGTGCATGAACCTCCCTACAGCTTATCCTTTAAGACTTAGGTTTATTACTTCTTTCAGCAAACCCTTCCTGGTACTCTCCACCCAAGCTATCCTCTTAAATTACCCTCATTTAAGATCCTGGTAGTATGTTCCTTATGCGTTTTAGACTGTTGTTTTCTTTTTGAGCTTTTTTTGCAAACAAAAATTGTATAAATCAGGGCGTACAACATAATGCTCTAATATAGATATATATTATGAAATGATTACCATAATCAAGCTAATTAACACATCCTTCAACTCACAGAGCTACTTTGGTGTGTGTGTGCCTGCTAAGAATACCTAAGATCTACCCCTTTACCAAATTTCAAATATACACTACAATATTGTTAACTACAGCTGCATCACTGTATATTAGATTTTCAGAATTTACTTATCTTGCATAACAGTACGGGTGTAGCCTTTGGCCAAAATCCCCCCCCATTTGTCCCTGGCTCCAGCCCCAGGAACCCACCAGTCAACTCTCTGTCTGGTTCTGAGTTTGACTATGTTAGACTGCACAGGTACGTGAGATCCTTCTACATTTGTCTTTTTGTCTGGCTTATTTCACTCACTATAATATCTTTCATATCAGTCCATGTTGGCACAAGTGACTGGATTTTAAGGCTGAAAAATATTTCATTAAATACATACACACACATGTGCACCACATTTTCTTTATCCATCCATCCATGTCTGGACCCTTAAGTTGTTTCCATGTCTTGGTTATTGTGGGTAATATGCTGCAAGGAGTGCAGACATCTCCTTTAGATACTGATTTCATTTACTTTGGATATATACCCCAAAGTGGGACTCATGGATCATTTGATAGTTTTATTTTTAATTTTTTGAGGTGCCTCCATACTGTTTTCCATGATGGCTGTATTAGTTTATGATCTCACCAACAATGTAAAAAGGTTTGCTTTTCACCACATTCTTCCCAACACTTATCTTTTAACATTTCTTGACAGTTTGCTCTGCTCACCACAGACACATGTAAGTAGCATTTAACTATAAAAGCCTTACTATGGCAACAAGCCCCTCAAACTGAGCAGCCTACCTGGATTTCTCGCCTTGACTTCCTACTGCCCTACTCACAATCTGTGTAACCCCCGAGAGAGAACCCCCATATCTGTGTTTCAACTGGACACACCATCCTATGATGCCCCACAATTATTATTATTGCTAAAAGAGATATTATTTCTCCATCTTAAAATGTCTATAGACCAAGGAGAAGTGAAGGCAATTGTTTTTTATTCTACTGACCCCTGTATTTCACTCAAGTAGATTTTTTTCATGTATTAAATGGCATCAGACAAAGCACATCTCCAAAAGGAGTGTTTACTTGTCCACATGGAACTCCACCTCTGACTAAGAGCTTCCTCGTTTGCATATGGCTGTTTTAGATCATTAACATGAGGGGGATGGGGTGAAGCCACCAAGGGAGTGGTGTGTGTGTGCCACATTTGGTCAACAGCAACTGATGTCTTGGCTCATCTCACTGCTGTCACCACAAGAATGTAAACATTTCCCAGTCTCCTCCCCTTCCCCTTCATCTTGAGTTTGGGACTTGCACATTTTCCCCAAATTTACTGACTTCATTCCTTCTATTATAAAAATTATTCCTCTGTCTTACCCTTTTCCAAGACAAAAAATTCCCCCTCTGATCAATCCCACCCAACATACTCTACCTATGTTGGTCTTTCTTCTTATTTCCAAGATTAGATTGTAAGCTCCTCGTAGGAAGCCCCCACACCTCATGTCTTCATGTCATGCCCAGAGCCCAACAGTGTGATGAACACACCAGATGCCCAATCATTGTATTGATAGAATAAGAAAACTATCATTAGTTAAATACAGTGAGTTATCTTTTTCTGAAAAATGTATTCTGGGGCAGTGCCTGTGGCTCAAAGGAGTGGAGTGCCGGCCCCATATGCCGGAAGTAGCAGGTTCAAACCCAGCCCCTGCCAAAAACTGCAAAATAAATAAATAAATAAATAAAAATGTATTTTGAGAAAGGCCTTTCTATGACACAAGTATTAGATAACATTTGCCAAGAGAGTTTTCTTTCCTATCCACAGAAACCCAAACTTCTCATCTTGAGAAAAATTATGCTAAAAATAAAACGATAATCAGCTCCCAAAAATAATTAAATAAAGAAAAAAGAATTTCTGTTATCAAGATAATATTTATTAAAGAAAGGTTAACATGAGATTTTGAAGGGCAAGGCAACCATCACAGAGACTCGGGGGCTCAGTCTCACTGCATCCTGCATCTGAGGTCTGAATGCCATGAAGGGATCCATGGGAGATGTCAGTGGTATTTAACATAGACAGACGCCCTTTCACCTGCTGCTGAATGGTGTAACAGGATAATAAAGCTGGTGGCCATTTATCAGGTGGATAGGTTGATGAATGACCCTTTTACATTGATGTGATGGTGGACGGATCATAGTTGGTAGTCAGAAACAGGGTTTAAAAAGAGCAGCTGGGGCGACAGCAAGTTGTACGGCAGCAGGTGGTCTGGCAGCAGACTGGGCGACAGCAGCTGGACACACCACAGCTAGGGCGGCAGGTGGTCTGGCAGCAGACTGGGCGACAGCAGCTGGACACACCACAGCTAGGGCGGCAGGTGGTCTGGCAGCAGACTGGGCGGCAGCAGCTGGACACACCACAGCTGGGGCGGCAGGTGGTCTGGCAGCAGACAGGGCGGCAGCAGCTGGACACACCACAGCTGGGGCGGCAGATGGTCTGGCAGCAGACTGGGCGGCAGCAGCTGGACACACCACAGCTGGGGCGGCAGGTGGTCTGGCAGCAGGTTGTCTGACTGCAGGATGGGCGGCAGCAGCCAGACACACTGCAGCTGGGTTGGCAGCAAGTCTCCTGGCAGAGGCCTTGGCCACAGCCCTGGTCAGAACAGACAGAACCACAACAGGAGTTGACCATGGTGTCAGAGGATGGAAGTTCTGGGTGAATTTCCAAGAGAGCAAAGTTTTCAAATGTGTGAGTCCCCTTATCCCATGTCCACTTTTATACCCAGCTGAGGAGCTGATGTCACTATGTTAAAGGCTATTTCCTTATTATTGTTTATCTTAATTGATAAACAATTATCAAATTATATAATTGTGGAACCATTAACTAATTGTCAAAGACAGAATGCATTTTTTTCTTTCTCTGCATTAGGGTTTATCCAATCCAGCCTTTCTTCCTGAGTCTCCTCTTGTCTTGTTTCTTCTATGTATCACCCAATTTCAAAGACTCTTCAGATTACTCAGCCAATTGATTGTCACGTGATAGATCATTTGAAACTCAACATTCTATGTGTCACCCTGAGAGCTTTGTGTCTCACACCAGTTCCCTGCAGATAGATACAAAAGCCAAGAATAATAAAATGAAAAAGTGTGATAAAATGAACTCATCAAAATTTTAAACTTTTGCTTTTTTAAGTATTTTCAAAAATGAAAAGGAGAGGTCCAGACTGGGAGAAAATATTTGCAAAACGCAAATCTGACAAAGATATTATATATGGAACACATAAGGACATAGAACTCTTAGCTCAATACTAAGAAGACACATACCCTAATTTCTTTTTTTTTTTTTTTGAGACAGAGTCTCACTATGTCACCTTCAGTAGAGTGATGTGGTGTCACAGCTCATAGCAACGCAACCTCCAACTCTTGGGCTTAAGCGATTCTCTTGTCTCAGCCTCCCAAGTAGCTGGGACTACAGGTGCCCTCCACAACAGCCACCTATTTTTTAGTTGCAGTTATAATTGTTGTTTAGCAGGCCTGGCGGGGCTCGAACCTGCCAGCCTCAGTGCACGTGGCTGGCACCCTACTCACTGACCTACAAGGCGCTGAGCCATAACCCAATTCTTTTAATAGACAAAAGAATTGAACAGAAACTTCACTGAAGAAAGCACGTGAAAGAAAAATTCCATGCAGACTGATCTAGTTTGTCAGCTGTTGTATCACCAGCCCAAAGCCACCCCCTGTGCTCCGTTCTGCGGTGCTGAAGCTGGAACTTTACAAACCACATCTCTCTTAGTCGAGGGCTCGTTGTCAGGATCTGTCATAGGACAGGAGCTAGAAGACCAGCTGCCTTTTGCTGCCTTTTTGTTGCAGATACTCCATGGTATGCATGACCACTGTTTATTTCACCACCTGTTTGGGACTATGACAAATAAAGCAGCCATAAACATCCATGTACAAGGTATTGTATAAACAAATGCAATCACAGGGTTGTATGGTAGTTTTTCATTTTTTAAGCAGCTGCACCAACTGTTTTCTAGGGTGTGCCATTTTACACGCGTATGTGATTCAGCCTCTGCATTCTCTCCAGCATTTGGTGGTGTTACCATTTATTTCAGCCCCTTCTGATGGGTCTGATAGCTCGCTGTGGTTTCAGTTCACCTTTCTCTAAAAGCTAATGATGTTAAATATCTTTTCGTGGGCTTGCTTGTCATCTACAGATATACGAAATATCTTTCCATGTCTTTTGCCCTTGCTCATGTTCTAATTGTATATTTATTTTGAAAGTTAAATAGATATTGATATAATCCAGATTGCTAGTCTTTTTTAATTTTTTTTTTAAATTTCAGATTAATATGAGGCTATAAACAATTAGGTGACAACATTTCCATTTGCTAGGTAAAGTCCCTGTTGTAGTTGTAGAACGCTAGTCTTTTGTCGAACACGTAGTTTGTGAACACACATCACGTATAGCTTGTAGCTGGTCTTTTCATCCTCTTTTGTAGAACAGAAGATCCATTAACCTTTATAAAATCAATTTAATTTTTTTTTCATGGATGATTTTGTGTGTGTGTTAGCTAAAACTCTTTGGCGTTACATTCTAAAGATTTTTCTTCTATTTTAAATAGAAGTTTTATCGTTTTACATTTTATATATAAATTTGGTATTCATTGTGAGTTAATTTGGAGGTTAATATTTTGTTAATGAACTCCTAATTGTTCCAGAAAGTTGAAAAGTCTAACTTTTCTCCCTTTCCTTTCAGCACCTTGAATTGCTGGTGTACTTTTATCAAAAATCAGTAGAGAATACAGGTTGACCCTTGAACAACATAGCAGTTAGAGGTGGCGACATCCTACACAGTTGAAAATCCACATATAACTTTTGAGTCCCCCAATACTTAACAACTAATTACCTACAGTTGACTAGAAGTCTTACCAATAACATAAACAGTCAATTAACACATATTTTGTAGGATATACATTTTATTTACTGTATTGTTAGTATAAAGTAAGCTAGAGGAAAGAAAATGTTAAGAAAATCATAGGGATAGAAAATATATTTACTATTAATTACTTATAAGTAGATCATCACAAAGGTCTTTGTCCCCATCACTTTCACACAGAGTAGGCTAAGGAGGAGGAGGAGCCTCCCTGCTGGCTGAGAGGTGGCCAAGGCAATAGAAAATTCACATACAGGTGGACTTGTGCAGTTCAGATCCATCAACTGTATTTGCAAAGGTCTAACTTCCTTTCATTCCAAATCATTTAGCTATCTGTTCCTTCTCTGATACAACAGTCTTGATTGTTATCTTATGTTTAGAAATTAGGTGAGATTATTCCTTCCACTTTATTCTTCAGAATTGTTTTAGCTATTCTAGTTCATTTGTTTTTCCATATAAATTTTAGAATAATCTTTTGTTATCTATTTTAAAATCTTAAAGAGATTTGTATAGGAATTTCAGCATATCAATTTGGAAAAAAGTAACATCTAAGCTAGGTTGAGTCTTATAATCCAGGAACATGGTACGGATCTCCATTTATTTATATCTTCAATTTCTTTTATAAGTGTTGCATCATTTTCACCATGTAGTCCCTGTACATGTTTTGTTAAATTTATACCTAAGTATTTTTTTGAGAGAGATTGTATGTGACATTTAACTTTAATTTCTGTGTCCATGCATTCATTGCCAATATAAAGACTATACCTGATTTTACAAGTTTAGTTCTTTGCCAAATTCATTTATTACTTCTCTTGTTTGCTTATGTGCTTGTTTATGTGGATTTCTTGAGATTTTCTATGTAAATAATCATGCTATCTACAAATAGAGACAGTTTCAGTTCTTCCTTTCTGAACAGCATGCCTTTTATTTCTTTTTCTTGCCTTATTGTGCTAGCTAAAACTTTAGCACTATGTGGAATAAGCAGTGAGATTGGAAATTCTTGCCTTGTTCTCAATTTTAGGGGAATGCATTCAATCTTTTCCTATGATTGATACTTCTAAAGATCCAGCTCTTTGTTTCATTGATTTTCTCTATTGTCAATCTGTATTTAATTTCATTGATTTTTGCTTCAAATTATTTATTTCCTTCTGCATGTGTTAAGTTTATTTTTTTGTAGGTTCTTGAAGTGAGAGCTTGGATTATTTATTTGAGACTTTTACTCTTTTCTCATAATACGTTTCATGCTACATTTTCCTCTTATCACTGCTTTGACTGTGTCTCACAGGTTTTGATATATTATATTTTTGTATTAATTCACTTCAATGCACTTTTTAAAAGAATTTCCTTTGAGTCTTTCTTTATGAGTTATTCAGAAATATATTGTTTGATAAGGGTATACAGAACATTCCCCAGATGAAGGGATCAATTACAACCTGATATTTTACCTTAGAAATACAATGTAAACTGATCATTTGTACCCTTGTATTAATCTGAAATTTAAAAAAAAAAAAAGAAGTATATTGCTTAGTTTCTAAGTGTTTGAAGATTTTCCTGTTATCTTCTGTTATTAATTTCTTGGTTGGTTTCACTGTGGTTGGAGAACACATTGTATGATCTCATCTCTTAAATTTTCTGACATTGCTTTATGGAACAAGATATGGTCTATCTTGAAATACATTCTATGGGTCCTTGAAATTAATGCATATTTTGCTGTTTTCAAATAGACTGCTTATAAATGTTGAGTAGATGCTATTGGTTGATAGTGTTGTTGAGTTCTTTTATATCCTTGTTGATATAAAAGTTGTTCTATCAGCTGTCAAGAGAAGGATGTTGAAGTCTCCAAATGTAATTGTAGATTTGTCCCTCTTTTCGATTCTATAAGTTTTGACTTCACATATTTTAAATCTCTATTGTTGAGGCATACACATTTAAGATAGCTATGTCTTCTTGACGGATTGACCCATTTTACCATTGTATAATGTCCCTCTCTGTCTCTGGTATCTCTGTCTCTGTCTCTGGTATCTTTTCCCTGAAATCAGTTTCATCTAATATTAATATAGCTATGCTTGCTTTCCTTTGATTAATGTTTGCATAATACATCTTTTTCAATCCTTTAATTTCAACCTACCTATACTATATTTAAAGTGGATTTCTTGTAGATAAAATATAGTTATGCTGCGTTTTTGTAATCCACTTTGCCAATGTTTCTTTGAATTGGTTTATTTAAACCATTTATATTTAATATACTTATTCATATGTTAAGGCAAAACCCAGAAATTTTGTATTTTTATGTTTTCAGTCTCTGTTTTTCTCTACTTTATTGCCTTATTGGTATTTATTTCCTCTGGTTTCTCTATTTTATTGCCTTATTGGTATTTCTTGAACATTTTGGAAATTCCACTTTATCTATGGTGTTTTTTAGAATATCTCTTTGCTTGGCATTTTTTTGGGTTACTTTAGATGTTACATTATGTACACACAACTTACCACAGTCTATTGATGTGATCTTTTTACCAGTTTGATTGAAATGCAGAAACTTTACCTTCCTTTATGTCTTTTTACCTTTTCCCATTTATAAATGTCTTAAATATTTCCTCTATATCCACTTAGAACCACTCAGTGTCATAATTTTCACTTTAACTGTCAAAGCAAAAATAATTCAGAAATTGTAAGAGGAGAAGGAAAGCTTACTATATTTACCCATGTGTTTCCTTGGTGCACTTTTTCCTCCATCCTGTTGTTCCAAAATTCCTCATTCAATTATTTTCCTTCTGTTTAGAGAATTTCCTTTAGCTATCTTTCAGAGCAAGTCTGCAGGAAACAAATTTGCTTAGTTTTCTTTCTCCTGGGAATGCTATATTCACAAAATACTTTTTCACTGGGTAAAGAATTCTGGGCTGACAGTTCTTTCTTTCAGCACATAAAAAATATAGCATATACTTGCCTGATTGGGAAGAGACCATCATTGTGAAGGTGGTTTTGCCAGGATGAGGCTTAGCCATTATATTCTAGATGTTCTGACCTCTGTGATGTCTCCAAATGTGGTAAACTCAACTATATAATCTATGCTAGCAGATGACTGTGTTCATCCTGTCCCCTGATATTTTATATATAGCCACTTTCTTCTCCTTGCCTTTATGATTATAATTAGAAATCCACTGTAATCTTAATTAATTGCCTGTAAGGGTAAGGTGTCTGTTTTTCTCTGGCTGCATTCGTAATTTTTTCTCTGTCTTTAGTTTTCAGAAGTTTAACTACTATGTGCCTTGGCAGTGAATTCATGGCACAGATTTCTTTGAGCTTATCCTGTTTAGCATTCACATGTGTTCTTGAATTTGTAGATTTATTTCTTTTGTCAAATTGGGGGAATTTTCAGCAAGCAGATAAACATATATAATATTCTGAAGGAAAATGGGGACATACCTAGCAATAAAGCAAAAAATGTTCTCTGATAAAAGCTGGAATAAAAAAGTATCTACATGGAAAAGATGAACTTGGATTCCAATCACTCATCATGTACCAAAAAAAAAAAAAAATCAATTGCAGGTATATTAATAGCTTGAAGATCATAAAATTCTTAAAACACTTACTAGACAATTTACATTAATAATTTTTCCTTAATAAACTTCACAATATCTCCTGAGCAAGACAATAGTATTATTTTGAAGAAATCACTGATAATTTTCAAATACATCAAACTTAACAAAATGAAATCATTAAAAATCATATTTTGAGCTTAGAGAATGAAGTATAATAAACCTATTCAAGGCCTGTTTCTATCTTCTTGCCACTCTACTTGGACTCTATTCCTTCTGGCATTGCAGTTTGGGAGTTACATAAGAGGAGAATTCTGAGATAAATTGGGTCTCACCCCATGTATTTCTTCCCCTCAGTATTATAACCAAAAGTTGATTGGGGTTCAATATCTGTAAACATGTGTCTTGCATACTGTATATACCCACCTTTCATCATTGCTTATAGCAGGAAAATCAGTCTTATATTAGCTTCTACATTATGGGACGTATCAGAAGCTTCCTTAAACTTGGTTTTAACTCATCCACATGATTCAACATCACACCCTTTTCAAAGGTGCTTCCAAATATAAATAGCTCGCAGGGGAAATGGAAGGAGGCTGGCAATTATCCTGACCTCTCACCAAGTTAAGCTGGACCTGTTAGATGACCAAATGCTGTATACAACTTTAAAAATGAGAATTATTGCTTAATTGATGTGGAGATGATGAATTATATCTCATTTCAGGAAAATAGTGCTGATTGGTTATTTGTCAATTAGAAGAACAAACAAATCAATTACCAGAGAAAATTCCTAATACTTAAAAAACAACTTCCTCCTTGGGGCATTTTCCCATGGCCTAGAGAACTTAACATAAACAATATCAAAGGAAAGTTCTGCTGATTGGTCTAAACTTCGGAAGCCCAGTGTATAAAAGGTACACATTGGAAGACATCAGCAGATTCTGGGAAACTCACCTCTAAACAAGAACCCATCCTCCACACAGGATAACATGACCCACTGCTGCTCCCCTTGCTGCCAGCCCACCTGCTGCAGGACAACCTGCTGTAGGACCACCTGCTGGAGGCCCACCTGCTGCAGCACACCCTGCTGCCAGCCCAGCTGCTGCCAGCCCTGCTGCCCCCCAACTTGCTGTCCAACCACCTGCTGCAGGACCACCTGCTGGAAACCCACCTCTGTCACCACCTGCTGCCGCACACCCTGCTGCCAGCCCAGCTGCTGTGTGTCCAGCTGCTGCCGCCCCACTTGCTGTGGCACCTCCTGCTGCCAGCCCAGCAGCTGTGCACCTGTCTACTGCACCAGGACCTGCTACCAGCCCACCTGTGTCTGCCTGCCTGGCTGTCTGAACCTGGGCTGTGGATCCAGCTGCTGCCAGCCTTCCTGCTGCTGATCAACACTCTTGCTGAAGACCAAGCACTTGCCACATTCTGGTTTTGCATCGCCTAACCCAGGTCCTGCACCAAAATCACTCTCCAGGCTTTGCCATCATCAAACTACCTGTAGATTGTCTTGCTATAAAGGATCTCAAGTGTGTGCTTGATGGAGCGCAGTCTACTTTATCCACATTTCTCCTCTTTATCTGTTGAGTGGAAGCTCTAGCTCTTGATCTACTTTGTCTGTTCTTGATCTTGAGTGATGTTCTCAGATATGGAAGAACCATCTTCATCTTTTCACTCTAAGCAGCCCCAAAACTGAGCAAACAGACAGAAACCTACTTTTTTCCTAACTCTTCTCAATGATAAGTGATATTTTCTCAATGTATTCCTTATTATTGTGCCCTCTTCTTTTCCCCTTTTATGGCCACTTTACATTGTTTTCCTAGTTGAGGGGAGTCTCCCCTGCTTATTTCCTAATAAACCTGTATTGCCTCACATCTTCTCTTGCATTTGTATTTATTTCTAGAGCATTTCCTTCATAAGAGCTCACATTTAGACTGCATTTCAAGCTCATCATTTCTTCATCACCTTGCAAGGCTATTATTGATTTGGTTGATAGGGCCAAATGCAAAGGCCCCCCCAAATAGAACTGAACACAAAGACCCACCAAACAGGGCTGACTGCATAAATCCCACCCAGAAAGGGATGAGTGCACCAACCCAGCAACCCCTGACCCTCATATTCCCATCCTGCCTTGCCCCTTACACTGACTTCTTTTCTGAACTCAGCCCACTCACACCTGAGTGAATAAATGGCTACATGGCCCACACAGAACCTGAACTTCATTTCCTTTTGTTCACATCTTGGAATAACCTTACATTTTAGGTGCTGGAAACCTGGTTCAACCCTCAGGGGGCCGAGATACACCCTGTCAGACCCATTACCAACTAGGCAAACTCTGTTCTGAGGAGACAAAGGGAAAAGTGGGTGGGGACTCCTCTGACCCTTGCCTGGAATCCATCTATTTATTAGCGAAGTGAGCATTCATTTATAGCCCCTATCTGAGCTCTAAAATCTCTGTTCTCTTCTCCAATTCTTATAGCCCTTCTCTGAGACTTTCAACTTCTCTTTCCTGTACTTTTCACTCCAACTCCTCTCTCCCTCTTCTTTCGTTTCTGAGTTGAAAATTTCAATAGTCCATGCTCCCTAAATCCATACCAGTAATGGACTAACCCTGGAGAAGCAGACTCATTCATACAGTGCCTAGTGCATGGGGGATGCCCCACCCTCGGCCTGAACCATTCTTTTCTGGCTAGTTAGATGTCCGTCAGGGATGCCTGGTAACCTTCCTAGCCCCAGGCTCAGACACCTCCCCACTCTTCTCCTTGTAAGTTCCCTTTTCATCCTTGTTTTAGCCTCAACTATCTTCTACCTCCAGTTTCTGATATAGGGACAGCTCAGTGACAGATTCTCCCTTCTTCACCTTTAAGCTCCTAACTCACCTCAAGCCTCTATACTTTTATCCTGACCTTAACCTTAAACACCTCAACTTTTTCTGTAATACAGCTTGGCCTATGTACAAACTAGACAATAGTTCATAATGGCCTGAAAATGGCACCTTTGACCTATTAATCCTCACTGGCCTTGACAATAATCATCAGAAACTGGGCAAATGGTCAGCAGTCTTTTACATCCAGTTACATCCAGGTCTTCCTCCTCCTCTGAAAGATTTCTTCCTTGTGTTCATCTTGTGAACCTTCTCAAATTTTTCTTGAACAGCCCAAATCAGCCCTCCTTGAATCCCCAAAACCTCTGACTCTCCACTATCTTCCTTTGACCCAGCAGACAACCCTCCCCCATCTGTCCCCCCACAGTATTCCCCCCTCAGCCTCCTCCATACCCACAGAATTCCACCCCATCCTCCCCTTCTCCACCATAACCCCTCTACTTTCTACCAACCATGGGCAGGAAAGGAAAGATGGCATACCCTACTTCCCTAACTCATACTAGATCTGACCACACCTTTGGAACTTCCACTTCCATACCCCCACAACCTCTGTACCTCTGAAAAGTTGTGGGAATGGAAGGTATCATCAGGGTTCATGTTCCCTGACTAGTCCCACATAAGTCAGAACTAGGTTTGTTCTCTATAGATCCCACAAAATAGACTCAAGAATTCTGATACCTAACCCAATCATATGATCTGACCTACGTAGGTAAAAGGCCTATATGCCTCTGGCCAAAAAAAGCTGTTTGAGAGAGAGCAGTGAAAAGACTTTGTGCAGGCATACTTTGAGAAACTGAGGCAGAATCCCATATGGCCGGGTTGGTTGTGGGCCTAAAAACCCCCTGACCTAAGGTCTGTCTGGTTGGTTACAGGTGTAAAAACCCCCTGACTTAAGGCCCACATGGGAGCAGAGGTTTGCACACAAATTTCTGTATGCCCTAGAAGTTTCTTTATGCCTTGTTTTAAAGATTGAAGTAACTGCCTCCAAATGGCGAGGTCAGTAGGACAGATTTTCAAACCATCTCTTTCCTCCATAGCCTCAGGCTTCATCAGATAAGAACAAAGAAGTAATGGCTAACAACATGTTCTCCATTAAGTTATACTAAACCAGGTTATGTTGAAAGGGTTATATTTAAAGGTGTACAATTGGATGGATTATTAGATTACTAGGGAGGAGCTACTCACTCACAGGTACTCACAAGATGCTTAAATGGATTAATGATGTCATTAATATCCAATGTGCCTGTGTAGAAGGAAGTCATTGATATCCAGTGCACACGTGCAGAGGGATTATAATGAATATTAATGAGGTCATTGATGTATAGTGCACAAGTGCAAAATTGGCTATATAAGCCAACAGTAAATAAAGAAGCTCACCATTTTGCCTGAGCAAGCAAATGGTCACCTTTATTTAAAACACAATTTCAATAAGCATGCTTATTCTCCATGACATTGCTTTTCCATGAGACCCTAACAGCAAGACCTGGCATGATATATATGTCATCCTCACCTCCACACTAACTTCAGAGGAGAGGGAACAGGTCTGGATCCAGGCCCAGGTCCACACCAATGATCTGTGAAAAACAGATCAAACCCTGCCAGATGGTGATAGGACTGTCCCCCAAGAAGACCCTAATTGGAATTACCAAAGTGACTCTCTTGGAGTCCTCCTCTGTAAACACATGGTCCAGAGTCTCTTAGACTTTAAAAAGCAGCCCATAAGGCTGTCAATTATGGCAAACTAAAGGAAATAACTCAGAAATGGTATGAAAATCCTACCCAGTTTTTAGCTCATCTTAATGAAGCCCTCCACTACTATATCACCTTATCATCAGAGAGCAACAAGGGCAGGCTTATTATCAACATGCATTTCATCTCCCAACCTGCACCCAACATCAAGAAAAAATCCAAAAATCCTCCCAGGGCCTTCATATTTCCCAATGAGATCTCATCAACCTGACCTTCAAAGTTTTCAATAACTGAGAAGAGTCTCTTGGAGCTCAAGTTATTGGCTTTCACCATTAGACAAGCCCTAGCTAATTCTTGAAACTCCTCTGGACAGTCCAGAAAAAGAAAACCTCTTCTGGGACCATGCTTTAAGTGCAGAAAAACTGACCACTGAGACAGAACACCCAAATCCAACACTACCCCCTCCAAGCCATGTCTAGCCCACAGAGGTCCTCACTGGAAGTCTGATCCCCAGATCCTTCTGAGGTTCTGGTCCACAGTCAGTCCCAGGACCTGGCTTAATTTCCCCTACCTCTTGGGCTTAGCCACCAAAGATTGACAGTTCTCAGAGGTGCAAGAGGCCCCTTTAGTGGATGACCACTAAAACTGAACTCCAGGTAACTCTGCTAGGAGAAGGTAAGCCGATCTCTTTTCTCATTGATATGGGGCCACTTATTACACCCTACCCTCCTACAAAGGTCCCTTATAACAAACAGAGATCTTGGTAGTGGGTATTGATGGCAATTTGCTACACCCTCACACTACCCCACCCTGTGGTGCTCACTTTCCAGGCACTCTTTTTCACATTCGTTCCTCATCATTCCTTCATGCAGCATTCGTCTACTAGGTAGAGACATCCTCTGAAAATCACATGCAACCCTGATAATTCCCACTGGCTCCCATCTCTCACTACCCATCCTACTCTCTAGCCCTTCCATTACAACCCCTCCAGTCTCTCAATCTGACTTCCCCATAGACCCCATCATGTGGGATACCTTTCTTCCTTCTATAGCCTCCCATCATTCACCCATTATCATTGCCTTTAACCCCAAATTTATATTCCTCCCTTAAATAATACCCAATCCCCACCGCGGCCCACAGAGATGTTAAACTCTTTATCCTCAAACTCCTGTCTGCTGGTATTCTCAAACCTGTTAACTCCAACTACAATACTCTCATACTTACTGTAAAAAAAAAAAAAAAAAAAAAAAACCCTGATGGTTCATATTAGTTAGTACAAGACTTACAGGCTATCAATGAAATTGTTCAGCCTATTCACCCGGTAGATACTAATCCCTATACCCTCCTATCTACCACTCCTACCAAAGACACTTTTTACCATCCCCACCCATTGGGTGAATAAACCCTCCAACTCATCATCCATGAACTCTCCCAATGTCTCTTTGCCTTCATCTGGACTGACCCTGATTCCCCCATCAGCCAACAACTCACCTGGATGGTTCTCTCACAAGGATTTAGAGACAGTCCCATTACTTTGGTCAGGCACTTCAGGCCATTGTCCAGCAGTTAACTTTACGAAAATTTCCACAATTCTTCAGTACATAGATGACCTTCTCTTATGCTAATAACTCTGATTTTTGCACCTGAGTTTTCCTCACCCCCAAGGCTCTTTTGTGAATGACTCCTCCCTAACTGAGAGCCTGATGCATTCACCTACTTCTGGACAAAAAAAGAGACATCTTCCTCCCTGTACTCCTCAGAATAGACATAGTGGCTGGACTTGGAACAGGCATTGCAGGCATTG